TGGCCTGGGCTCCCCGCCCAACCATGCCTGGCACTGGGGCTGCTGTGCAGAACTACATCCCTGCGCAGCAAGTCTTCCCTCCCTCACCCCTAGGCACAGGGCTCCTGGGAGGACACTTGCAGAAGGCGGGGAGTGTGGGCCAGCACCCAGTGGGGGGCAGCACTGGGACCTTCTGCCTGGCCATTTCTGTCCCCCCAGGGAGCAGGGTAAAGAAGGTCCCCAGCTCAGGCCTGACCCAGCACTGGGTGGCAACCAAAGGTCCAAAGCCCAGTGGACACTGGCAGCTGAGTGGTCAGAGCTGCAGGCCAGGGAGGAGGGTGCAAAGGTGGTGCTCCTGGGCCGGCACATGGGCCACTTCCCTGGACCACACAGGGCAAGGGCAGGGAAGCCCTGGTGTGGCCAGCTGTCTGGAGGGACTGGCAGGTCTCTGTCCAGGTGTCTGGGGACTCATGCAGGTGGGTCGGTGTTGGGGTCCCAGCTGTGCATGCCTCGAGAGCAGGACTACTGAGCCTGCAGTAGGGCCCTGGGTCTGTGCTGCTGTCCTTGTGACATGAGGCGGGGGTGTGCTCCCCACTGCCCTTCACCCTCCTAGGACCTCGTTAGCATGAGGCTTACAGGTGCTGGGCCCCATCCCATAGGCAGGATCTTTTTGCTTCAGCCTGCTCCACTGTTGAGCTGGGACAGGATCTGGGGACAAGGCCCAGGGGCAGGTGCCTGTGGAGATGGGGCCTAGGGAGTTCCAGGGCTGAGGCTTCCTCCCATCTTGAGTAGGGCCAGCTCCCGTCTGGCTCCTGACAGTGTTGCCCCAACCTGGGCCGAGATCTGATCTATCTTGACATTGGCAGCTGGGGCCTCAACAGCAAGCAAGGGCCCCACTTGTCTGGGTGCCAGGACCTAGGCCCCACCCACTCTTCCACTGGTAGCCTTGGGGCTCCAGGGGTGCCATCCCTGGTTCCTGGCAGTGTGAGCTCCTCTCAGGGGAGGGAGACCCAGGTTCCAGCTCTGCCTGGGAGCAGGACCTTGTGCTGAGCCCCGTGCAGTAGCATCTGACATGTTCCTTTCTTGGAACAGCAGCAGGGACATCAGACTACCTCAGAGGGTTATTCCATGTCCCCAGACAGAGGCACGCTCACATTAGCAGACACCCTGGGCGCACTCGGGGTGGACACGTGTGGGACCCACACCACACTGAGGCTCTGTGCTGTGGGATGGGAGGCCGTGAAGATAGATTTGTGACAGTGGGGTCTGCACAGGTGCTGGGTGCTGGTGTCACCAGGTAGGAAGAGAGGGCACAGACCTGCCCTGTGGGAAGGGGAGCATTTTCCTGCTCTCTGGCAGGGCTGTATTGTCTTCTGACCCTTCCCCAGCAGAGCTGAGCGCCTCGCACGCACAGCCCCTCAGGCAGTTCCAAGCCCGGCTGATGGTGCCAAGGGGCGGGGCCTAGGCCTGTGTGCCAGGGGCAGTGGGGACACAGAGGACGACCCCATGCTGGTGTTGGTGCCTAGGGTCCTGGGGCCTGGTGGCCATCCCTGCCCAGCCACTGGCAAGGCAGCCATGGCTGAGGCCAGGCAGAAGAGGCTGTAAGGCCACTGGGGTGCAGGCTTGTCAGGGGCCAGAGGTTCCAGAGGGCTACGGCCTGGCCAAGAGCTAAGACCCAAATGGCTCCTCCTGGGATCGAGAGCCAGGCTGGCCGCTCTTTGATGTGCTGTTGTTTTTTGCTGGAAAATCAGTTCCGCAAGTGCTGCTGGGGCCCAGCCAAGGGCAGCTGGCGGCAGCTTCCTGGCCTCCGTGTGGCCTTCCGGGCCCAGGGCAGGGCCAGCAGGGCGGGTGCTAGTGGCCTCGGGAGGAGGCTGCTCACTGCCCCGCCTCTGCTCAGGCTGCCCCAGGATGGCCTTCCACCCTGCCCCTGCCCCTGCTGCAGCCTTGCCAGTCTTGTTTCGTCCTGGGTGCTGGCCAACGGCATGGGGGTGTCTGTGCAGATGGTGGGCAGCAGGTGCAGATGGACCCACTCCTACCAATGCCCACGCCACCCACTGTGTGGCCCCCAGGGTGACGTGGGACCCTCGGGTCATAGCTGCCCGCTCACAAGGACTTGCTCTACCTCCCACTGCCACGCTCCCTCAGGGCCTGCACTACGCGGCCCCCTCCTGACATGCCTGCCTGCAACAGGCAGCGGCATCAACAGGGGATTCACTTTATGGCTCACTTAAGTCACAGGTATGCATCCTGGCCCCTGGGTACCATCCTTCAGCCTCTGGGGAGTATTGGGGCATCCTTTGTAGTGCCGGACAACACACTGTTGACTTGGAAAGGAGGCTGCACTCCAGCAGACAGCCAAGAGGACCCTCCTGGCCAATGTTCTAGGCACAGGCTTAGAAGCTCAGCCACGTACAGCCAGGGTGGAGGGCCAGTTCCTGAAAGGGCTGGGGGCTCAGTGTCCTCCCCATTCCTGAAGGACCTGGGTACCCACACTCCCATTTGGGTTTTTTTTGGTGGAACTGGGGATTGAACTCAGGCCCTTGCGCTTCCCAGGGAAGCACTTATTCTACTGAGCCATCTCCTCAGCCCACCCATTTGTTTTTGAGGGGACAGGGTTTTCTTTCCATGGACAGGTAACTTTGGTCCTCAGAGTCATCTGCATCACCTCTGCACCCGCAGGTCACCGTGGTCCTGAGAAGGCCCTTGGTCATGAGTACCCACCACAGCACACAGTTCTGTGTGGGATCATCTCAGTAGCCACACCACTGCAGGGTACGGGGCCTGGGACCTGGGGTCACCTCAGCAGTGACACTGCCACCACTGTAGCACCCGGGTCCCTCCTGAGGAGTCTAGCCCAGAACATACTGGGGTTCAAGTCTGTACAGGGCCTCCTCGGAGGTGGACTGCACACCTCCAGAGGCCCCACGGTCAGGTGGCATGGTGTCTGTGCTCCAAGCGTTCATGGGAGAGGCTGATGCTGGCTGGGTCCCCAAAGGAACCCAGAAGCCAGACACCAGGCGCTTTCCTTGAGGAGCTCACACTCAAGCTCAGCTTCCTTAATAGTCTATCATCTTTTTCTTTTTGGAAGGTAGTATTTTTCATTTCTTCTACATTTTCAAGTTTTCAGGCAATCACTCACTGCAGTCTGTCACTCTAAAGACTGTGGGAACATGACACATACTTCCTTCTTCTCCCTAATACAGGAAGCCTTCGACTTCCGTCCCAGAAGAATGTTCCCAAGTTGATCTGACAAAGCGAGTCTTACACAGTGCACCTGTGTTAAGTCGCAAGTCAGGACTCACTGTGCTCATTTCTACACTCCTTACATCTGGGCGGTTTTATCAATTGTACCATTTTATTTGCAAAGAACCACTGGACTTCCTGACCCTACCATATAATTTTTTTTTCCAGAATTTTAACTACCATATAATTTTGCTAATTTCTAATTCCTTTTATCCACACATCTAAGTTTTAAATTTTCTTTTGCTGTTTTTGGCTCAGCAGGTACACACACAACCTCTTAGTTTCAGTTCTCTTCTGACATCTGCACTTCAGTATGTGGACTGGCCCAGGGCAGCCCTGCTCACAGAGGAAGCGACTGGCCGGGGGCCTGGGGGCCTGGGCCACGTCGGTGCCGTCGGGCTCACTCACCTTGCCCGAGTCACCTTCACAGCCCCATTCCCAGCCTTGCTGAACCACACCGAGGCCATGTGCTGCTGAGAGCTCCATGGCCTGGCCCTGCCCCCGACATGGCATGACACACGTCAGGCCGAGTTCAGCCTGCAACTGGCAAGGCACAGCTGCCACTCCAGAAGCAGAATAAGCCCTGAGGAGGACAAACAGCATTGGCTCCAGGTGCAGGCACAAGAGAAGCTGTTGGCTCAGGGGCAGGAACGGTGAGCAGTGGGCACAGAGCATGTCCTGCCCCACAGGTGTGGGGCCTCGCCACATGCGGGCGGGCGGGCTGGAAGCAGGCACAGAGGTGCTGACTGCCACGTTCACCACAGCCAAACTATACAGGGACCAAAAGAGGGATGCAGTGCACAGAGTACAGGAAACTACCGGGAGCCTGACAGTGCCTGGCAGGACTGGCAGAGGCCTCGGCCACTGCCCATGGAGAGACGTGTTGGCCAGAGGCGCAGGAGCTCAGAAAGCCAGCCTGGCACAGCCAGAGAACAGTGCAGCCCTGGGACAGTGCAGGCCTCGCGTGCATGGAGAGTTTCTGAGGAAGCCCAGAGCTGGGATGTCCCCGAGGACACTGGGAACCAAGAGGCCTCTGCAGGCTGTAACAGCGTGTTATGGTCTGTCTGGATTTCCCCCCAAAGCCTCATGCACTCACAGGGCGTTTTCAGAGGTGGATGAATATAGTGTGTGTGATGAGTAACTCAGCTCCCTGACAGGCTTGGCACGGTTCTGGCTAGGATCAAGGGTGTAGATGCCACACTCCCCCTGGGGCAGGTAGCCTGCATACAACAGAAGGGGCAGCAAGAGGCTTGGCCCTTCTCTCTTGGCTCTTGCTATCTTCTGTGTCCCTCTGCCATGTGCCACCCTACCTTGGAGCCAGCAATTTTGGACTGAAGCTGTATAAACCATGAGCTAAATCAGCTTTTCCTCCCTTAACTTTGGATGTCAGGTATTCTGTCTTAGTGATGCGAAAAGGAACTAAGGCAGAAAGCCATGGCAGCTTCCTCCTGCCTCTGCTGGCAGGGCCCGGACGTGTGATTCCCTGCTCCGGCAGCCCTGCTTTTCTCTGCCTCAGGCATGCTGGAGGGAACTATGCTGGGGATGTGGGTGGGCATGAGCTGGCCAGTCCTACCTCCGTGGGGCCACTGGCCAGGTGAAGAGGCCCACAGCATGGATGAGTCACCATGGCCAGTGGCCCTGTGTGTGTAGCTCAGCACCCAAGGACTGTGGCCTGCTCCTGAGAGGCCAAGTCAGGCCCTGGTGGCCAAGATGGCCAGACAGGACAGGGATCCACCAGGGGCCCTAAGAGACGAAGGCACTAAAGCAGATGCTAGGCATGCTGGCTCTTTCTGGGATTTTTATTTCTTTAAAATAATTCATACAAATGGTTACAGTCACAAACATGATTTTAACCAAAAATATTGCTAGCCTACCACATCAGCAGGACGGCACCACTGCAGGCAGGGGCGCTGCAGCCCTCCGCCTCCCCAGCACACCGGCGCTGCAGCCCTCCTCTGAGCTGCTCTGAGATGCCGCCGTCATTTGGAACAGGGGGTTCATGCCAAAATTAGGAAAAACAGCATTTGTTTTGTTTTTCTAAATTATTCTAAAAATAAGACAAGCAGGTAGAAAAAACAATGCACTGTGTGGCATAAAAAGAAATGCGGGAAGGATTCATTGTCCTGAGAAGTGGGCTGACTGCCTCGCTGGGCACGTTCCACACAGAGGGAAGAGGAGCCCAAGCTGACTTGCTGAACGCTCCCTCGGGTTTTCTTTTTGTTGACAGCTAAGCAAACAAATCCTCTGCAATGTTCTAAGAACTGGACACAGACAAGAACACCCATGATAGAATTAACTGCTAACTTCTTTTGCTTAACGAGGAACGCAAAGGACACAGGACAGTGAGCCAGCCACGGGACGGGACAACTACAGTCGACACGGGGAGCTGTGTGGCCTCATGCCGCCTTGCGCCCCTGCCAGTCTCTGGGCACTGGGGCCGCCACTGGGCGCCACCTCTGCGCGCCCCGGCCTGAGGTGCGCGGCGTCCTCCGCTGGGCGCTGAGGCTGGAGGGCTCCTCCCGGGCTACAACTGGTCACTCGGGTGGTCTCTGTCTGCCTCGGGCTTGACAGTTTGGCCAGGAGAAGGGGCGTGGGGTGGGTGGGCTACGGGGGGCAGGCCGTGGGACAGGGACATGGCGCTGGGGACGATGCCTTCGACAGCAGCTGGGATGCCAGTGGGGGCCACGCCCACAACACCTGGGGGGTACCTGCTGGAAGGAGCACCAGGTGTGAGGTCCCTGCAGGGAGGGCTGAGCATGTCACCCAAGCACTGCCTCTTAGGGAAAGGGTGTCCCTGCCGGCTCCCCAGGGACCCCTCACGAGGTCCCCATCCCACCATGGGCCTCACCCACAGCCCTGGCCGCCCCAAGGCCAGTGACCGCGCCATCACCTGGGCCTCCTCGTCCACGGGACGCTCACCTGTAGGCAGCCCCATTGAGCTCAGGGTGCACAGCAGCGGGGTCCATGCTGGCCCAATGGGTGGCCGCCGTTAGGTGGTCCTTGTTCACACAATTTCTCAAGCTGTCTGGGATGCGGCCTGGGTGTGAGAAGGTCAGGACACCAGGTCAGGCCTGGAGCGCCAAGCTGAGGGCCTGGACTATGGCCTCAGTGGCTCCCTGCCCAGCATGGGCTTACGCCCCACAAGTGCTAGGGTCCCGTCAGCCACGGACCCAGCCTCCCCTGCAGCTGAGGGTGCAGCTTGCCAGAGCTTGGGTGAGTCCTGCCACGCACACACACCTGGCACACCCGCCAGGCTCCCAGCGGTGCGAGAGCCCGCACTGCAGTCCTGAGCTGGCAGGGGGGATGGGCCGGCGCAGTGGGTGCCCACCTGTGATGGCTCGCCGGATTTCACGAGCGGCCTCCTCACGCATCTCAATGGACGCCTGCTCGCTGTACCATGCAGCATGTGGGGTGCAGATGAGGTTGGGTGCATCCTTTAGAGGGCCCTGGCTGAAACTGAGGACACACAGGCCAGTTGGGGTAGAGCAGTCAGGGCCTGCCCTGTCCCCCAGGCACCTGAGGGCAGGGTGTGAGCTTCCGACGGGATGGGGCCTACACAGCCTGCAGAGCACTGCCATCTCCTCTGGAGGCTGAGCCTCCAGCCCAAGACTTCTCACTGCTGTGCTACAGGACGTGGGGTAGGGGCCCAGCCACCTTGGATACGGGACACACTGCCAAGGTACAGGACAGCCTCCTCAGCTCGCAGAACTGGCTATAAGCTGAGACACACTGCAGGTTGTGAGGAAGACTGACCCAAGCAGGACCAGAGGCTGGTGCAGTGCCCCAGCCCCCGTAGACAATGGGTCCCAGCCCTCACCCCGTGCTGCCACACACACAGGCTGTGGACAGTCACTCTACTCCAGGACTGCTACTTCCCCTGCCCCAAAGGCCCTGGGGCTGGCTCCCAGATGCTTCATGGTGACCCCAGTCCACCCAAGCACACCCTCCTGTCATAGTGGCCCTCGGCTATCTGGGTCAAGATGGCATTTCTATGGGCAGCTCCTGACCAGGGTGCCAGCCTCTCCCCAACACCAGCCACAAGAGTTTGAGGCTGGAGGGCACTACTGCCAGGTCATACGCAGCTGGCACCTGAAGGGCTCAGACTCGTGCACATCCAGCGCTGCGCCGCGGATCCGCCCTTCCTTCAGGGCCTGGGCCAGTGCCTTCTCGTCCACCAGCCCACCACGGGCTGTGTTCACCAGGAAGGCCCCCTGTCTCATCTGTAAGGACACCACAGCAAGGTCAAGAGGTGTCCCCCACTCTGCACCACCCCGCCTCTAGCTCCAAGGAGGGGTCCCAGCACCAGCCCTGCCAGGACTACCTGCTGCACACCCACTCTCCTCAGGCGCCTGGCCCTTGTTCCCTGCTCCCCATACCCAGGGGCACAGCGGGGTGCCCAACATCTCCCAGTGCATGGCTCTGCTTGGCTCGAAGTCCAAACAGGTTTCTTAGTACATCCCAAGGCCCACGGAGCCATTTCACTTTGTCTCTGAGCCCCACCTCACACTGAGTATGCCCACCTACCACAGAGGCCCAGACCACCGTGGCTTCACATGGCCAGCTGCTGTCCACTGCAGCCTTGTGCCCAGGGCTTCCCATGTACTTTAGTGCCATGCCAGTTTGAGCTCTCATGGACAGCCAGTGGTCTCCAGGTGGCTTTAGGGTGTGGGGCAGACAGAAGGGGTGAGCAGCCCCTACCAAGCACACAGACATGCACCGGGACACGTACACATGCGCATACGTGTACGTACACACACACACACACACACACACACACGGCAGGCCTGATGGTGTGAGGGGCCACCCACATACCTGCTTGACGGTGAAATCATTAATGAGGTGGTGGTTGTGCTCATTGAGGCCGCAGTGCAGTGTGACACAGTCACTGTGGAACAACAGGTCCTGCAGGGTGCTCACGCGCTGCAGCCCCAGGGCCCGCTCCACACCGTCTGGCAGGTACGGGTCGTAGAAGAGCACGTTGAAGCCAAAGGCCTTCGCCCGCAGCGCTACTGCCTGCCCTACGCGACCTGTAAGTAGGATGAAGTGTTAAATGGCACCCCCAGGCTGGGCCACCAAGGACTGGGTGTGGCAGGGCCCCTGCATTCTGCACAATCCATCCAGTCTCAAGGGCAAAGGACAAGGGTGGGGTAGGGAACACCTGTTACAGGGCATGGGGTTTGCTAGGTCCCCAAGTTTGTAGGGCTTCACACTCTCTCCTAATCCCCACTCCTCACACCCTGCCCCTAGGGCCACTCCTCAGGGTCACGGAGACCTCAGGTCAGGCATCCCTACTTGGCATGCACAGGGGCCTCCACAGGACACAGGGAGAGGATACTCTATTGGTAGACACCGTGCCCACCCTCCTACCACACAAGGACAGCAAAGGATGGATATCACAGGCCAAAGACAGAAGGAGACCCCTTGGGTCTGTTAGAGACTCCAAAGAGACAGGAAGGACCAAGGACTCAGAATGGCAAGACTCAGAAGCCAAAGGGCCTTGAGCCACTGAACTGGTCAGAGGAGCAGATGGAATAACCCAGGTCTAGAGAAGACAGGAGCACAGCTCAGGGTGCTGAGAGGCATACGGTGCAGGCAGAGAAGATGCCAGCTACACAGCAGCCAGTACTGTCACCGAAGCAGACCCTTCTGCCATAGGGGCTCCTGTGGGCATCTGGCACTTTCTAAAATCCAGGCAAGTGGGCAGTACCAGGAGTTCCCCAGTCGTCCGAGCTGCTTCACTGAGCAAAGTCCTTGGCGACACAAGGCCCACAGAGCACAAGAAATCATGACATTCAAGGAGACAGAAGACACAGCTTCTAATGAAAGGAAAACCCATACACAATGCAGCAGACTGCTGATGTCAGATGGCGGATTTGATAAAGGAGCGTAGTACATTAGCTGTGATTAGAACCAAAGGAAAATGTGAGAAAATGGCTTAGAAGTGAATTTTAGCCCAAAAGCAGCCACTCCACCAGGAACCAAGCAGAAAGTTCCAGAAGTAAAAAACCACATCTAGGATAAACTGCTGGGAAGGCCCCACTACAAGATAAAACTCAGCAAACTCCAAGACAGGCCCCTGTGGCTGGGGAAGATAGCTCAATGGTCTAAGCACCGGCATGGCAAGCACAAGCACCTGGGTTTGATCACCACTACCACATGCTGTGCCGGAACCGTGTGTGCCATGCTGGCCACCGAAACTGGGGGTGGTGGCACAAACTGCAATCCCACGGTGTGAGGCTGAGATAAGAGGATCACTTTGAGTCTGAACTGCGTAGCCAGACTCTGTATCAAATAAAAGAATGAATGAATGATTTTTAAAAAAAGACAGGCCCCTAAAGTCAGTAGGAACCACATAGGCCAAGGCCAAGAGGGCAAGAAGCTTTTTAAAAATCACACACAGTAAACACAGAAAGCAAGACGTTCAAATATGCAGGCCGCACACTAACCCTCAGGGTGCGCAGGCAGTGCAAGCGCCCGACTTGGGAGTCCACAGAAGCCCCTGCAAGCCCCCACTACCCCACAATGAGACCCTGACCCTCTCTGGGTCAGCACCAGGACCCAAGGCCACGAGCACTACAGGCCACACAAAATGAACAAACAATGGGATGAGGCAGTCAGGAAAGAGAATCTTTATCTGCAAACAGCCCAGCGACACATGCAGAGATCCAAAGAACTGACAGACTAGCATTCAGAGAGGATGTGGGTCAGAGATTAGCGCAGAAAGACCAAGTCTATCTCCAAATACAGAGAACTGAGCACTGGAATGAGCCAGGACAGCGCATGCCTGGAATCCCAGTATGGCGCGCTGGGAGGCTGAGGCAGAAAAGTCTACACCCAGCCTGGGCCACGTATGAAGACCCTATTCCAAAATAAAGAGGAATAGTGCTAGAGGTTTTTATTTTATTCCAGAATAATGGTATTCAGTGCAAAGGATCTGGGTAATCCTCAATGTAACACACAACACACACACACACACACACACACCCAGACAGAACACTAAACACTAAAAACCAAAGAAAGTATTTAACTGCATTAAAATACTCCACGCCCGTCTGATACTGCGGCTTGATGACAGTGCAAACCCTCAGCAAGCACGAGGCCCAGGCTTAGATACCAGCATGAAAAGAAAGCAAACAGCAAGTTCACCAAGCTGTGCAGGAACCTCCTCAACTGAGAACTACAATCAGTACAAAGAAAATGACACACACAGAGGCATGCCATCTGTACAGAGCGCCTGGACACTAGTCAGGCAGCATGCAGGGCAGCCCAAGGCCCTCCTGCACGGCAGGTGGCTTTCGGCAGAGCTGCAAAGCGCCACAGGACCTGCCAGGCTGTGCCACAGGTCACCATGCCAAGCACAACCATGATCCTAGGTGGCCAGAGACACACAAGGCCAGGCTACAAAGCTTCCAGCAGAAAAGGGCATCTTCATGATGCGGGTTGGCAGATCCCTTGGTGCCCAGGGAGCAAAGCTGCCCTCACTGAAGCAAGAGCAAGAGGGCTGAGTGCACAAGGAAGTGCCCCAGCACCAGCCGTGCAAGGAGCCACGCAGCCCACACCAGGAAGCAGCAGGAAGGCAAGTGAAGGACACCGTGGCAAGGGCTCCCGAGGTCACGGGCAGGTAAGGCCAGGCCTCCTCACTGGCAGAAGCTGCGGGGCTCAGCAGAACCACCTGGTCAGTGTCCCACCGGAAGGGAAGCTGGCGACAGTGAGTGCTGACAAGCATACGGCTGCTGCAAGCCAAGCACATGCCTGCCTGAAGACAGCACAGCAGCCTTCCCTACTCCTGCTGGGAAGGACATGCCACGTGCACACGTAGCCACAGCAGCATCACTCACAGGCAGCTGCACGCAAGGCCGTCATCGAGTCACATGGCAAAGCCCTACCCGTGGCTCAGGCCGTGGACCACACAGAGGTGGGCAAGGCCAGAGCTCCATGCTCTGAGGGAGGACAGGAACAGAGGCTGGATTCATGGCCACACCCTGGCAGCCCTAACAAGTCCAATCCACAGCACAAGGGAGCCAGCATAGCTGCCGCAGGCCAGGGGACCCAGGCAAGAGGGTACAGTGCCCACCAGGGTTACTTGAGTGTGGACACTCAACACTTCCCAGTGTGCATGTGAGACAGTGTGTTTGAAAAAAGGAGCTGGACACAGTGGAGCACACCTGTAATCCCAGCACTTGGGAGGCTGAGGCAGGAGGATCGTTGCGAGTTTGAGACCAGCCTGGGCTACACAGTGAGCTCAAGGCCAACCTGAGCTGCATGGCAAGGCCCTGTCTCAAAAAGACAAAAAAGGGGCCAGCAAGATAGCTCAATGGACTACAGCACCTGCTTAGGCAAGTGCAGAGACCGTGGTTTGATCCCTGGCACTCCATGCTGTGCCAGCCCTGCCCCCAGGGCAGGCTAAGCCACACAATGCGGGCGTGGTGGCGCACGGCTGTAATCCCAGCACTGGGGAGGGGGAAAGCAGGAGGACCACCATGAGTCCAAGCTGCGTAGTAAGACCCTGCAACAACCAAATACATTAAATTAAAAAAAAAAAAAGAAAGAAAGAAAAGGAAGAAAACAGATAGATGAGGATAGAGGATAAAGCACAAGGTGTGGGGGCCAAAGCCAGGGCAGGAGGCAGCAGCTACTGAAGTGCCACAAGGAAGAACGGCACACAGGGGTTACTAGAGCAGCCCCGTGGCACCTGTCCCCACGGCCAATCACAGTGGAATGGACAGGCCCGTGTGGGTGGTGCGTGAGAGGCACAAGGGGAACAGTGGGCACAGCTACAGCTGTCTTCAGAGATTAGGCTGGAGAAGTGGCCAAGAGGGGCTGCTCTGCAGTCAAGAGGCTCATGATCATGGGAGGGGGCTCCAGGCTGGCACCATGGGAGAACCAAATGGCCCTGACGAGCAGAGAGGACCAGACCATGACTGAGAGTTGAGGCGCAGACCTGCAGGAAGCAGGCCTGTGTGCAGTACTGGGCGTCTTGGGGGACAGAGCCATGGGCCTCTCACCTGACCAGATGCTGGTCAGTGCTGCAGGCAGACAGCAGAGAGGCCCATAGACAGCAGATACTCTTGCCCCCAGACCACCCCATGGGCATGCCCTGCAACCTTAGGACAGCCCCATACCTAACCCAACTCTTCCAACACAGCAGAGGCTGAGATGCCCAGATGTGGTAGGGGAGGGGGATGACGAGTGTTTGAATGATATGCGGAGAGGTGGGGTGCTGGGTACTGTCTCCGGCCCGGCCCTGACCTGATATAGGCCCAGGTGGCCTCCCTTTCCTGACTACAGGGGCACCTGAGGTCACAGGGGCAGCAAGGTCGAAGCTGCCTGTGTCAGGGTAGCCACAAGAAAGGAGACATCCAGGGCATGGCTGGGGATGCAGGCTCCTGCTGCGGAGCTGGATGGCAGCAGCACTCTCCAGAAAAGGCAAGTGGGGGTGGCGCCAGGGGTGTTGAGGCTCAGGCTCCAGGCAAGGACCTGGGCAGGGCGAGGAGAGGGCTGGTGGCCAGACTTTCTCATCCTCACCCCAAGTCACAAGCACCTAGCCACACAAGGGGCCGTGCAGATGAGCATGTGTGGGATGCCTGTGCGGTGTCCATGTGTCCCACATAATGTGCATACACCCACACATGCCACCTGGAACATCAACTGTGGTGTATACATGTGCCCACACGTGACGTCTGTTAAGGCACATGCCTGGTGCCTGCCAAGAGCTGTTCCTCTTCCATCCCATCCTGGCCTGAGTCCAACCCTACAGTCCACATAAGCCTGGCTTCGCCAAGCATGGGCTGCAGGGACAGCGGCACCAATGGGCCCAGGCCGCACGTGCAGAGACAAAGGCTGATGCACCAACGCACCTAGTCCAATGATGCCCAAGGTCTCCCCACGGATCCTGGCAGCCCCTGAGGCCACCTCGCGAATCTGTTCAACACTCTGGACACGTGTGCCTTCCCGCAATGCCTGGTGCAGCCAGGTGGTCCTCCGGTACAGGTTCAGGATGTGGCACAGGGTCGAGTCCGCCGTCTCCTCCACAGACGCTGCAGGCACGTTGCACACAGCGATGCCTGAGGGCAGAGATACGGGATGTACCTGTGGTCACCATGTGGGCTAGGACAGACCCCCAGCATTGTAGGTGCTGGGGTACCCACAGTGTTGTTACGTCACTGAGGCCAGCAAGATGCGTGCCTGTCACATGGCCTAAGGGCAGCATAGCGCCAGCAAGCTGCATCTAACCCATCTCCACCCCAAACATTTCAGGCTGCACTCACAGCCTCCATAAGCAGCCAATCAGCGAGCACAGGTCGAAGACAGGCAGAGGGATGCTCTGAGGAAGCTACACCAGGACATGCTTCCTCCCAGAGGAGCCGTGAGCTCACAGGCCTGTGTGCCCATTATGCTGCCTCTCTCAGGCTGTGCCCTCTCTGCTCCACAGGCTTCCTGTACCTCAAGAGGCTGGGCACTAAGTCTGCCTCAGCCCGGCTCCGTCCCTGGAAAGGGTCCCTTTCTCCTTGGCCCCGCCCACCAGCCACGGTCCCAGCTGTCCACAGCCCATCATGTTTCCACCCAGCTAGAGCCTCTGCTGTGCTGCACATCTGTGTCCAAAGCAGAGGTGCTGGACAGGCAGCACCGCTGAGACGTGTCCCAAGTGCTGACGGTGTCTTCCGATCAAGGAGACCCAGGGACAGACCGGCATGCCCCAGAAATAGGTTCTCCATCATAAATTAGGAGCCCACATACAGCCAGCCAATGACAGACTCCACAACTGCCAACAGGTGAAGGGATGGGGACCTGAGGCACCACAGTGGCCTGGCCTGGACAGTCCTGTCTGGTGGGTAGAGCCAGGATGGTGGGATCATGGATCAGGAATGCAGCACAGCTGCAAGGCCTGTTTCTGCTCTCCAACATGCCCTACTCAGGATTCCACCAGTGCCGAGGGAGCCAGCAAACAAAACTGACCTCCCAGCCCGGCCTGCAGCTCCCGCAAGCAGAATCAGTGTGCTCTTGTTCTCACTCAAGTGTCGAGGTGACACGAGCCAATGCAGGCACTGTGGGCATGACCCCCTCTCACCTCGCCACCCACAAGACAGGATGAAAGAGTAGAAAGACATGAAAAGCCTACCAAGCTTCTGGGTGCTGCTGCAGCGCATGTGTGTGCAAGCTCATCTGTGTGCATGTTCCTGTACACACAGAACTCAGGGTACATGTGCAGATGTGTGCACTGTGTGCTATGGGCCCATGAGCCCTCATGTCCATGTGTAGACGGGTGCTGGCACAAGAGCCCTCAAGTGCATGTGCATACTAGGCTACAACATGCTGCCTTTCCTATGCGTCTGGGGCACAGACTGATGACTGCCCTGGCAGGGCCCAGGCAAGGAGAGTGGCTGCAAGATAACACGGAAGGACAGCACAGGTGGGCACAGAGCTCAGCTGGACCTTGTGCTGCTAGTCACAGAAGACTCATGGTCCAAGCCACTGAGCAGCCACTGACACCTGGCAGTGTTCACAGGACATACATCTCCAACCTAACCCTGCAGGCCCAGTGACTCTTGTTCCACGACATGGCAAACCAGAAGGGCGGAGCCAGGTACGGGGAGGGGCTTGCCAATCAAACCCACAGGTGCAACCCAAGTGCCCACCTAAGTCCCCAGCAGACTTGATGTCGATGTTGTCGAACCCACTGCCAATTCGGACAATGATCCGAAGGGCTTTGAATTTCTCCAGGTCCTCTCTGGTCAGTGTGATGGTGTGGTACATCAGGGCACCCACAGCCTCGTTCAGCACCTGAGAGAGAGAAGAGGACGGTACTGAGAGGTGTGGGCCTGCTGAGTGCTGTCCTGGCCCAGGAGTCCAGGCCTTCAAGGGACCCTCAGCCTCCAGCCTGGGTTTGAGTTCCCAGCATCGGGCAGCCAGGCAGGCCCCATGGCAGCCACCATATCCTCATAGGGTACCTAGCCTACAATGCAGGCATCAAGAGGGGCTCTGGCAAAGGCAAGCCAGGAGGATGAGTAGACATGGGCATGGACAACAGCAAGGGCATCAGAAAGGGGACCCTCAAGGACAGGCACGCAGGCCAAAGGGCCATCATACATGTGCAGGGCTTCTCACGGGACACTGCCAGGAGAACCTGGAGATGTAACCCCATGTCCAGCCCTGGTCACAAGAGGGGAGGCAAGGGAGTGACCCCCTCGTGGCAGGCACATCCTACTCCTGTGCAGCTCACGCATGCTCAGCTTCTTCCTGCAGCCACACTTCCCCGATTGTGCCTACAGGCCTTCACACCCCCAATCCTAAGCCTTCAGGCTATGTCCACACAGGCAACCATGGAGACCTTGCACGGTATCCCTCCTCCCAGTCTATAGAGGGCTCTGAGCACCGAGATGCCCCTGGAGCCTGGCCTTCACCTCCCAGGGGCAGCAGACCTGTGCTGCACTGGAGAGGATGACAAGTGCATCACCTCCTCCAGACTCAGTGGGCAGAGCACCCTCTTGGGACTCGCACAGGGAGGGGTCACAGGTAGTCTGGAAGACCCCTCTCAGATGACCAGAACGACACTGATGAGCTAGATACCTGTAGCAGGAAGGGCTGTGCAGAGCAGAAACCTGGGGGACAGGTGCTGGGGAATCAGATGGGGCCCTGCATCTAGGGCCAGACTGGACATCTGGCCCACATGGGGGGCCTGCCCAGTGTGCTGAGGGGCGCTGGGCTGTGGCCCCCGGGGCTGGGCGAGGCAGCCGCTTTTCACCCCAAGTGGTCAGTTCACTGTGGCGCTGGTGCCTTCCGCTGCGCCTCTCTGCGCGTGCGGCTCTTTGGGACCAAGCCAGGTGCTCACTTTCTTGAAGGTCAGCCCCAGGCACCCTCTCAGGCTCGGGCTGCACACAGCTGGGGTCACCAGCAGCCTCGCCCTGCCCTTGGGACGCGGCACTCCAAGAGCTAAGGTGCAAGGCAGCGCTGCTCTGCCTCTTGGACTGCACCTCATTTCGCAGCAGGTAGTTCCACATTGCCCTCTCCCTGCCCTGCAGGTGTCTGGCACTGCGGTAGGATAAAGGCCTGTGAGAGGAGTCCCAAGGCGGCCCAGGGACCTCACTCTAGCCCTATGGCCGGGGTCCCTTGGGAGGCAGAGCCACCCCACAGGAAGCACGCAGGCTGACCTGTGCCTCTCTGTGCGCCCCAGAGCCTCACCATGCTCACCTGCCTGCCCACAGGGCCTCTGCCATCTTACTAGTGTCACAGAAACCCTAGACGGCGGCGCCACACATGCTGTACCCAGGCCTGCAGGCTGACGCAGGCCATGGTGGTGTCCGCAGCAAGCACAGGCTGTTTGCTGCCACCCTTGCAGGTCCTTGGTCCGCGCTTTGCTCCATAAGCTCTGACACCTTGACAGCAAGCTGGCCGGATCCTCCTGGGCCGCATTTTCACACTCTCCTTCCCATTCCTGAAACCAGGGCCGTCTGCACGGCACTCACCTTGCCAGAACACGTGCGACTCCACAGCCCACAGCAAGCTCTCGGTGTAGTCCACACCCAAGGGCCCCATCTTGGGTCCCCAGGTCCACTCACAGTAGCCCCACGGTGGGTCTGAGGGGCTGGGCCTACCCAGGGCAGAAGAGGAGGGCTGTGTGATGAGGACTGCCCACTCGTGCCCTAGGTTACTCCTGGGCACTGCCCACTAGGGCCCTGGTACCTGGCTGGCAGCCTAGCCCTAGGACCCCAGCTTCCAGTTGTGCCACCCTGGGCCAGAGGCTGGGACCCCAGGGCTGTGGACACTAGCTCGGCTGCTGGCTCCTGTGTCCGTGTAGAAACTCCACTTGGCCCACACCCTGGCACCTCCAAATCCAGTGAGATCCTGGATGGAAATGCTCTTCATCCTGTGTTTGTGTGGGTGAGAGGACATAGTGGCTCCTTCTGCAGCACACAGTGACATCAAAGTCACTGAGACCCAAAGCAGGTGTCTTTTCCCTTCCACACAGGCAGTAACAGGCCTGTGGTATCCCTGGCTGGCTGTCCCCAGACTCATGTCCTACTGCTCCCCCACTCCCAGAACACTGCTGCCCGCGTAGGCTACCACAGCTCCAAGGCTCCAGCTGGCATCTGGTTTCCAGTCAGCAGAAAGAGGAGGACCTGCTCAAGCTCCCCTGGCCACTCCCTCATGGAACTTTATAAGCTGGCCACGCCTACCAGCAAGATGTAGGAAGTAAAGCCCTCGCTCAGGGCCACACACCTACGGGAAATAGGGGACTCCGAGACCTGGCAAGGGTTCAGCATAGCATTCTGGGCGGGGAGCCTCTGTGACCCAAGTCTTCCTTGGCCCCATCTCCTGAGATGTCCTTTGTCACTTCAGCCTTCCTGCTATAGTTCTAACTTCATCTGTACCCTCTGTCCCCAGGACCTCCCTAGGACCTCCCCTCCGCTCCTGCACACGCCACGTGTCACTGGCCTGCTGAGGACGCAGTGCCATCAGGCAGGGCAGGCACAGGCTGTGCCCTCTGCTGAGCACCTCCACTTTCCAGTGGGATTTTATTCTCATCTGCCAAGAGAGTGTTGTGTGTTATGATTTCACTTTTCAAATTCATTGGCAAAAATTAAGTGCCGCTTATGAACATGAAGATTTCCTTCTACTCTCGTTCCATGAATTCTTCAGTTAGCTGTCCACTGTCCAGTTCTCCCATGAGACAGGCAACGGCACTTCCTACCCAGTCACATCACTGCCACCACGCACCTACAGCTCTGTCCCCTCCCCCCAGGAAAGGGAGCAGCATGGTGCAGGACCCCAGGAATAAGCCTTTGGTCGGAGGTACGAGGTGGCCGCTCTGCCGGCACTGCCTCGTGGAGCCATGCCCAGGAGGCCCCTGTGCTGAGCGGCTGTCCAGGGTGCAGCATCCGTAAATGCCAACTGTGCCCCTATCAGTGTGCTCTCGGAATGATGGCCTGGGGTCCCCCACAGGCCACCCACCAGTTTCTCTGCTTCTAGCCATTCCCTGTCTCGTGAGACATTCAGCTCCTCGCTTATGCCCTTGCCTCATTCTGCCCGCTGCTTGCAGTTAATGCTCCCAAACGGTCTTTTAGCCACGGGTTTTCCTGCTCTGTAGCTTAGTTTTTCCCTCCAAATCTGCTGCCCCCTCCCTACACTTTCAAGATTGGTTTCGCTCTGCCGTGCTAACAGTGGGTACTCCATAACTGGACAGGTTCCTGGTGGCTGGCACCTCCGATGCCTCAGGGCCCGGCTCACAGGCCTGACCTCCATGACCGTCTGGCATCTGACAGTGTAGCATGGACAACACACCCAGAAATGAGCTGCGGGATGCAGGACACTGAGGCCCTGGGGTGCTGGGCACTGGAAGGCAAGTGGCAAGCTGGGTCACGGTCGCACATCTAGCCACAGCCGGGGCTGACCAGACCAGGTGTGTTCAGGTCTACAGAGCTGGGCTCCATGTCTCTATCTGGGGCACAGATGGCCCTGCAGGCCCTGGTGCCACCAAAAGCAGAGTCTCCCCACGGCCATCCACATGGCAGGTCCTAGGCCCTCCTGGCTTTGGCCAGTAGTGGCCCTGCCCCACTAGTTCTCACAGGTTTCTGAGGCTCATCAGAAAGAACTCTGCCACTCTGTTGCCATCTCAGTGGAAAGACTATTCCGAGTCCCTTAGCTGTGTCGACACCTGGCTGTTAATGTGGCACAGGGCCCCTGTGTCTGAGCAACCATGAGTTGTGACAGCTGCCTGGTGCTGCCCACCACACTGCATCCCGAGGTAGAGACAGGTGACGCAGGGTGCCGGGTGGACTTGGGAGTAGTAAGCCTGCCTCCAGCACACACACAACACCCAATGACAGCTGTCAGCAGCCAGGCTCCACCGTCAGGAGAGACCTGGGAGAGGGGAAGGGTCACCCCTTCTCTGTCTCCACCTCCCAACAGCACCAAGCACAAAGACCGGTGCTCATGCCCAGGAGCAGGCTTCCAGTGCAGTCCCAGACCTTACCTTCTCGTGGATCTCCTGTGTGGACTGAGCATCACAGAAGGCCACCGTGGCCACATCCTTCAAGATAGGCATCTCCACCGTGCAATCCCGACCGTCGAGCAGTGCCACCAGGGGCCGTGGGTGCAGGGGCCCGTTCATGATTGGAGGTCGGACGCCTGCAAGACAGAAGGGGACCCTCAGCTTGAGCTTACTGACAGCAGCCCCACCCACCCAGCACCACCGGGGTCTCTCGTGTTCAGGGTTGTTGTAAGAAAGAATCAGGGAGCAAGACAAGCTGGTGCTTGCCCAACATGCTGCCACCTGAGTGGACCCACACCAGCAGGGCCTCAGAGTTCCCAGATGAGTGGGGACATGAGCACAGGGATGTGTAGACTACTAGACGACTTCAGAAAGTCTCACTACTGCTTCTTGGCCCGAAGCCACTACACAGCTGCCTAAAGCCCTGGAGTTGCAGGGTCAGACGTGTCCTGCCTGAGCTCCCTTCCACACGTAGGTATCGAAGATGAAGATACCGCGTAGATGTAGAAAAGGCCTAAAATATATTCAGGACCCCTGTGTTCCCATCCAACCCACACAAGTGAGAATTTTTAGACCCAGGGAATAGCTCAGCCATAGAACGCTTGCTTAATCTGTTTGTGTAAAATCCTGTTTCTATCTCCAATGCTACATGGGGTGTAGATGCTAACAGTAGGGTAAGGTGGTACACACCTGCGACTCCAGCACTCTAGGAGGCTGAGGGAGGAGGACTGCAAGCCTGAGCCTAGCCTGGGCAACTCTGCAACTCAGCAAGATCCTGTCTTGAGATTGAAACACAGTATGTATATATATATATATACGCACACACATATGTACATATATACATATATACATACATATATATCTTTCTGGGAGTGTAGCTCTGTACAAAAGCCCTTGGTTCAATCCTGAATACTACTAAATGAATAAACACACATAAATAAAGTGCTCAAAAGCCAGTTCCCTCTAGATGTGACTGAGCTGACCATCGCTGGGCCAAGGTGGAGAAAAGGCTTCTGTCCAACACTCACTGCCAGAGCAGAAAGCACCTGACAGGGCAGAGGTGGCCCTTTATCCCACAGACCCTAAGGGCCATGCCTAGGAAAGTGGGGTCTCCAGGGGCATCAGGCCAGCATGAGAAGATGCACAAAGTACAGGGGGACCAGGAGGTGCAGCCACCAAGCAGGCCCTGCCAAGCATGGCCAGAGACTGCAAGGACAGGTGGCCAGTAGCTGGCTCCTGCCTGCAGGGGGCTGACTGCGGTGGGCAGGCAGCAGAGTAAGCGCCCGGCAGGATCACAGCACAGGAGCTCAAGAGGCCTGCAGCCCCTCTGCACACAGCTCCAAGCCTGCACGCACAGCCCGGTCCTGCCCCCTGGGATGCAGTTCCAGGTAGCCCCTCCCCCAAGGGCTCCCAGGCAGGGCACCCCAACACCATGGCTACATAAAACTGGAAGGTGCCACAGTGCCACGCAAGTCTCACTCTGAGCTGCAGGTCTGGCCACGGCTTACTGCCCACTGTTCTCTGCACCAGAGCCCTCCCAAGGTGCTCACACAGTGGCGGCCCTGTTACCCACAGCAGGGACAGGCAAGCAAGCAACAGGCCACCCCTCCCAAGCTAGACTTGGATAAGGCCCCTACTGTAGAAGAGCGTCATGGTAACAGGTGAGTCGGTGAACACTCACTTCAGCAGTCTCAGCTTCAATGAGGCCTGAGGAGAGGGACAGCCCACAGTGCAATGCTCTCTGAGGCCACAAAGCAAGTCTTCAGAGTACAGAGGTGATGCTGCCCAGGATGTGGCAGATGCCTTGAGAGAGACAGGTAGACCCAGCCAGCCTATGAACAGCCTGTCTCAGCAAGGGCTCCTGGCTGGGGGCAGGGACAAGCCAGTGTCCAGTCTACGCAAGGGCAGGGTAGAGGAGAGGCCCAGGCCTCCTCGCAGCTGTGCACCTGAGACACTCCTCTTAAAGTCATGGAGCTGCCTCAGACCCTGGTGTCAGCGCCAAGGTCAACCCAGACACAACTCCCAGAGCCACCGTGCCAGGATGGCTGCAGCATGATCAGGCCGGGGGCTGACATGTCCATCACTCAGCCTGGACGCAAGCCACACACAGCCCTGCTGACCCCTCCAGGCCTCCCTTGGGCTCTACAGTCCCCATGAACACCACTCTATGCAGGTGAATCAGGCCTCAGCACCACCCCTGCCCCTCAGGACACAGGACAGAATTGGTTCCAGCACAGGCTGCCACACGTGGTGGGGCTAAGACATGCACTGGACACAGGGACCCTGGCCACAGCAAGCCCCAGGGGACAGCGCCCTCTGAGATCCCTCTGCAGGTCCCAGAGACAGCCTCACTCCAGCGAAGCTCAGGCAGCCCCTACCAACCTGACATTGCTTAATTGGGGATGAGTTTCCACGACCATGAATTCGACTGTCCAAAGCTTTTTGTCTTCAGAGTCCCCAGGCAGAACTGCGTCCTGTCACGGAGCCTCATCCCACGTCTTATTGTCTCCAGCCACAGCGCGAAGGCTGCTGCTCCACGACAACCATCGGAGCCTGCGCCGCTCAAAGTCTTACTAAAAATCAAACACAAGAGACACATTAACACGTGCCCAGCCAGTGGGCTGCTCAAGCAGATGCTGTTGTACAGACTTGGCTCCAACTTCTGCAGAAGCACAGCACCCACTGAAGACCAGCAAGGGGCTCCCGGGCCATGTCCGGGCGTGAGATCAGCCCCACCCCAGCATCCTTATGTGGACCTGGGAGTAGCTCTAGGGCCATCAGAGCCACTGGCATCCCAGAACCAGCAGTACAGGCACTATGTGAACCAGCAGGGTGTTGGTTCTAGAAACTTGTCTTAGGGCAACTGTCCCTGGCCTCTGTGAGGCTCGGACATCGTTCTTCCAATGAGGCCACCCAGGTGCCAGCTCCTCAGCTACCTGCCTAGCACCCCGACCAACCCCAATGCTCCTGCAGGAGGTGGCCAACCTGAGCCCTACCCACTTGGTCTTTACATGCTGCTCAGTGTGGCAGCCACTGGGGCATGGGTGTGACATCCAACACACTAGCAGGCGGAGGGGCTACTGATGAACACAGGTGGTCCAGGCCTCTGGATGCATCATGGCACTGGGATACCAGGCAGGATCCAACCCTGATGTACAGCCGGGACCCACACTCACTGCCAAGAGTACAGCCTGTAGCAATACAGGTGATGGAGATAAGATAGACTGCCTGCAGCCACACCTCTTGTAGCTCTACAGAAAGTTCCATGCAGCCACAACCAAGCCACCAGCAGGATGTAGAGTGCAGCCTGCTCTGGGGCCACCCCCAGCAAACGTTTTCCCCACTCCCTCTAAATGCACACACTGGTCTGCTGCTGGCTTCCAGAATGTGGCCAGCTTTGGGAAGTGTGTATAGCTCAACACAAACAACACAAGACCTGCCAGTGGCCGGCTGTGCCTCTTGTCCCAAGAGGGTACAGAAGTGGCTACAAGAGGAAAGTCTGGAAGCGAGGCCAGGCCACCCATGGCCAGGATGTGTGGGGACCAGACAGCACCCCAGGCCAGGTCCCAAGGGTGCCCTCCTACACTGCTAAGCACATCCCCCTCATCAGCACTAATCCATATTCTGTAATGAGTGCTAAGTGTACACTCACATGGGTCAACATAGTTGCTCTCAGTGGACAAGACTAGGAATGCCATCTGCTGCGCCCAAGCCATGCACAAAGGTGTGCAAGCACTTACACCTGCATGGCAGGGCTGCGAGACGGCTGCAGCCAGCGCCTGAGCTCCTGATGGGGTGATTTCCAGAACAGCATTGCCAGATGCAGGGAGCCCTGGGGACAGCAGCCTTCACATCAGGATAAAGCATGATACACCCACCCCACACTGGGCCCCATACCCAGCAAGGCGCAAGTCTTGCAGCTCAGTGCAGTGAGAGGTCAGGAGCTGCTTCCACCTGCCTCCAGTGCTGGGGCAGATGTGCAAGGCTCCCATCCAGGAGACAGCCACATCCCCAGAACACATGGTGCTTCTCTACCTCACTGGGTGACTTGGCTGTGAGACCCACAGCCCTAAGCTCAGGTAACTGACCACCTGCAGACACCCTGGACATCTGCAGCTGCGCCTAACTTGTGCCACACAGCAGCCAGGAGCACAGGAAACAGCTCAACAGCACTGCTAGGAGACAAGGTCTAGCGACACACTTGAGGAAGCTGTTGTGAACAGTACGCTTGAGGCTGTAATGGAGAGGGGGTCAGGGGGACCAGGCCTGTGCCCACCTGTGATGACCCTGGAGAAGGCAGTACCCTCCTAAGGTACCAGCACCCCTGCTGAGGAACAACGCTGTACCTTTGCTCGGCTGGGAGGAGGGTGAAAGGCTCACGCCCCATGCACCTTTGCAGCCTATAAGCACCAGGCCTCATGGAGGCCCCACATGGTACCCTGGGCGCTCCCTCTCCACTACTGACCTGCATGGGAGGATTTCTCTGGAGGCTGTGGTGGTGACTGGCGCTGTGTCACAGGGGGCTGTGCAGGAGGGGAAGTGCTGCCCAGGATTCACACAGCAGCCTGGCAGGTGTCACAACCTGACACACTCTATTAGACCCAGGTTCCTGGAAGAGGTGATGCAGGCGTGCTCTGTGGACTCTGGGACTTAGTGCACCCCCCACCAGGCCACCTTTACCATGGGGCACCCACAGGACTGCAGAGCTCAGAGCTGGCACAAAGTTCCGTCCCAGCAGTGGGGGCTGACATGGGTCCTTGATGACCAGGCAGTCTTGGACTGCAACAAGATCCAGAGACCAGAGACCCCCAGAGTGAGTCCTCAAGGGGCAAGGACACCAACTCTGTCTCTAAGGCAAGCCACCCAGAGCCCCCCTCCACCCCCCACCCCCGCAGCAATTTCATGATTGAAACCCAGGCAGGAGCCACATGGACACAGACCAGAGCACCTAGCCACTCACATCCCGACAGCCAGAAGGCCCTCAGCTTGGCCAGTAGAGCACCAGCACCCCACTACAGGGTGAGACTGACCAACCCCTGCCCACACCTTGGACCCGGCTGGTTCACATGGAGGCAGCAAGGGTGTGAAGGTGAGGTGTGAATGACTTCTGTGAAGAAATTTATGGCTAGGACACCATGGGGACAGCCACTCAGACCCAGTGCACGGCAGCTGGTGGCTAAGACAGGGCCAAGTGCACACAAGCGAGGGCTGAGCATGCATGTGGGTGCTGGGTGTAGCCTCTCTGCCCTCAAGGGTGTCCTGCCATGACCTCCCTGCACCAGCCTGAGTTCCAGGGACAGAGCTGGAGAAAGTCCTGTGCCTGCCAGCACTGGACCCTCTCCCTGCAGTCCACATGGCCACTCAGACAGAAGAGGGAAAAGCCTGCCAGGAATAGTGTGCTTGGACTCTCCAAGGCAAGGTGATCAAGATGCCCACACCTCCTGCAAGGCAGCGGGCAGCTGCAGTGTACTATGTCCAGCATAGCAACTGGGCAGAGAAAGGTCACAGAAGACAGCACAACACAGGGTATCAGGGACACTGGGGAGACCAGGACACAGCTCATGGGCCACTGGCTATGACACCCACTCCACATATGTAGGATGACAAGGTAGGAAAACAGGTGCAGGTATAGATACTCTCAAGATTATTTCCATCATTTTTCTGTAAATCCATAACTGTTCCAAAATTAAAGTTTTATTTTAAAGTAAATAGGTTAAGCAAGGAACAGTCTCCAGGATTCTGGAAGCCACAGGTCCAGAGAGCAGTGGGACAACATGGGTTCTGCTAAGGTCCTTAAACTCAAGGAGTCCCAGGTCCAAGGGTCCCATGCTGAGCCATCACCACTGCTAGGCTGCACAGCCATAGGCCGGGGGGTCCCCAGCCAAGCCTCGGGCTCTGGGCTAGCACATGTGCCCTGTGCCCTCATACCCCTCAAGATCGGAAACCCCAAACTCAGCTGCCTAAAACCTGCCCCCAAGGCAGGCCCTGTCCTTGGCCACAGTGCTACCCACCGCACAGCTCAGACCTCCAAGCCCATGTCTACCTCGCAGCATCTCTCCAGTCCAGTCCTGATTACAAGCCCTGTCCTGGGAATGGCTGGTTGACTTGCTACTCAGTGGGAACAAACCTGGACCCAACTCACCCTATGCTGTCTGTTACCCCCTGCCCTGCCAAGAGCTTCCTGGCTCAGTGACCTCTCTCCCCTGGTTGCCAGGGCCAGCACTGTCCCCAGCAACTCCTCAGGTCACTAAGCTGTCCTGCAACAGGGGGCCAGCCACCAGGGTATCAGAGACCAGAGCTTGGTAGTGGCCAGGGTGGAAGCAGATGGGCGCTGGGCATAGGCCAAGATGGAACAACCTGCGGGCAACAGGACAGGGCGTGGCCCAAAGAGGACTCCCAGGTTGGCAGCAATGCAGAGTGGCTGGGTAGAGGCACAAGGCACTGTGAACCTTCCAGGAAAGATGCTTCAAAGACACATGGGTGACATCTGTACAGCCCAGGGGCACTTCTTTCACATACCAACAACAAAGTGGGATACAAGGTGGGCTTACTCCCTCATCCACTTCTGGGGATGCTGTTGGACTTCATTTGCAGCATGTAAACTCTTCAAGAACCCTGGTACTTGGGGCCTGGCCTTAGCTCAATTGTTTAAGTGGCTGCTTCCACAAAGCTGTCAGCCTCAGGTTGCTGTAGTTCGATCCCCACAACTCTCCAGCCAGCCAAACCAGCCAAACCAGCCATGAGGGCATTCGGAGCCAAAAAAAAAAAAAAGAACCCTGGTACCTGAGACGAACTCCTGCCTCCTGCAAAGAGGTAATGCTGCCCTTGCTGGAAAGGCAGTGTCCCTCACAACCAGCAGGTTCCAGGGCTGTCTGATACTTAGTGCTCTCAACACCTCCAGCTGGTCACCACTACACACACTGGCTGACTACATAGAGCTCCCACCCCAGAACCCTAAGGGAGGCAATGGGCCACTCTGAGCCAGGCCCTTCCGCAGAGGCAGTCACCTCTGCTACCATGACTCCTCCAGAAAGATTCACTGACCTCGAGCCAAGTGACAGCTTGTCAGACAACAGAACCTGAAGCTGTCAATGTCCAAAGAATGCTGCTGGCTTTGGCCAGAGACAGGCCAGGCTGAACCTACAGGCTATGCCTACTTGGACATGGACCAGGCCCAGTATCTCAGGCCCAGCCACACCTCCCTTCCCTATTACAGTGCCCTCAAGACAATGAAAGGGATCAGAAAGGACAAACCCCACTCCAGAGGGAGATATGAACAGACTAACTGGGCACCTCCCTCAAGGGTAGAAAGGGACCACAGCCACCCTGGTCACAGCTCAACAGGAGACACTGGGTCGGGACCAGACTCCATTGGAAACTGGGCTAGCAGGGTAAGCGGTCCAGGTGTGTGTCCTTCCCCACACCTAGTAGATGTCAGGGTCACAGCACACGCACCAAGATGTGTTACCAACCCACAGAAAGCCAGGCATGATGCTGCATGCCTGTGAGCTCAGTACTCAGGAGGCCAAGGCAGGAGGCTTGTTTCAAGATTGCAGGTAACAGCCAATGCAGGTAACGTGACAATGACAGAACATTTGCAGGTCCCAGCAAAAATGCACAGGCCCTTAAAATGGGCAGTGGTGCATGCTTGTAATCCCTAGAACTCAGAAGGCTGAGGCAGGAGTATTCAAAGTTTGAGGTCAGCCTAAACTACAAAAGAACAAAAGTAATCCACACACCCTGGCCCACACTGTATGACAGCACCTGGCACTGTGCCAAGGGTACCCTCAGACATGCAGGCAGTGCCTGACAAAGTTCCAGAACCCCAGGCTGCAGCTGTCATCCTAAATGACTAAAATAAATATATACACCTACTGCCTGTCGCCCTGCCCACAATACTACTGCTGGGCTTGTCTCACCCCATCGTGACCCTACGATGCAGACGAGGCCGACGAGGCCACAGACACGGAGAGGCCACACTGGTCAGGGTGCTCCTGGCCCACAGATGTCATCCCTCCACAAGCACCTCCAAGGTTCAGGATGACTCGGGCAGACACCCAAGGCCCTGAATACCACCCCTACGGTGGCTGGGTGTCCTTTACTGTCATTTAGAGCGAACAGCTGCTCTGAGCCCCAGTGATGAGGGGGACGCGGGTGTCTGGCCCCTGAACATGTTCAGCCCCCAAGACACAAATGCAATCGCACCCCCTTGCCACCCCTGCCCGGGCCCCACTCACAACCTGACTCCGTGGGCTCACCTTCCTGACTACTCAGGGGACCCGGAAGAAAATCAATCTCCTCTGGTTCCCCTTCCTAGAATCACTTCCGTCCTAACCAATCGCAAAGGCACTCATCAGAACAAGGGACTGGCCGAGGGCCAGGGAGCTTCCCGCGGCGCCGTGCCCCGTCCCTGCAGGGCCTGGCCGCAGCCTGGGGGCCACGCCCGGAAGCGCCCCTCCCCGAGGATGGCGCGGGCTGCAGGGCACAAAATGACCGCGCCTGACGAGGAGCTCAGGCCTGGCGGGTCCCTGCACTGCCTGCACGTCCTGCCTCGGCCGCCTACCGGCGGGAGGGGAAAGTGCCCTTGGGGTGTGGGGCCCTGCGGGTAAAGGGCGCGGCCGAGGGGAGAAGGCTGGGCCCCGCGATCGCACGCTCTGCATCCGCGGGCGACGACTCGGAGCGCAAGGCTTGCGCCCAAAGCGAGTCCCCGCTGTCCCCAGCACAGAGTGGGCCCGAGTCGGCGCCTTCGCCTTCGCGGGAGCCAGCCCTACACCGAGATGGCTACCGCCTCGGGAGTGCGGCAAGAAAGGGGCGCACTGGGGCCGGCCGCCCGCGGTCCGGCGGGGCCACTGCCGGGCTAGAGGGTCCGACCCGCAGCCCCTTTGTCACCTGCGCGGACCGCGGGAGGGCGAGGATGCGCACGCGCCCCGTCGCGCAGCGGCTCGCGCAGGCGCAC